TCTGGCCAATCAGATGGGGCTTTTTTTTGGCTGTTGGGGGATGGATTACAAGCACGGTCATGTGACTGTTACGAAATGAAAATTTGGACAGATCCGAAATCCGAATAACCAACCGAATCACATTTCGGATCTGAAATGTCTAGTCTACACTGCACTGCACAGCTCTGTTGACCCGACAACAAGTGCTGTACGTCCAACACCGAGGACACTGAGAACTCCCCGAGGGCAGAGGTAAGGGAAGTTGTGATCTCAACAGGCTGGAGTGGATCCTAGACCAGGCTGTATTGTTAAGTCACAGGGTAGTCTGCAGAAAGATCATGGCAAGTGCAGGACCTGGCTGTGCTGCCTGACAGGGTTACCTGGATCACATGACTGGGTACAACTGTTCCTATATAGATATCAACTGTGTATTTAGCTGTTTGCTTGGGGCCCTGCTTTAACCCTTTGGCTGCCCCTGTACATCATTCATCGCTGGCAGCTGGCCCCTTCAACCAGATAGCCACTGGGACTCTGATTACATGTGTAAAGCCGACTGTTGGATTTACTGGAAGCGATTCTGGTGGCCGCCAGATCACTTCCAAGGGCCAATGTGCACCCCCTTTCCCAGTTCACACCATCTCCAGTGTGTTCAAGCACGGTTAGCTGCTGGAACGCCTTGGATCGCATACTGTCCCGCTCCCTGCGTTCTGGGGCGGGAGGGGGTGCAGTGCCATCACCTGCACTAGAACACTTGGCACAGCAATGGCCGCGATCCGGTCCAGTGCAAGCACAAAAAAATTGTACAAGCACTTTTGGTGCGCTTGATCTCACTGCTGGCGGGGGGCGTAGCTGTGGTGCCATTGATTTGAATGGCTGTGGTGCCACGCCCCCTCCCGCTCCAGAATGTAGGGAGCCAGATAGTATGCGTTCCAGTGCATTCCAGCAGCTACTCGTGCTACAAAGCACTGGAAATGGTGTGAATGGGCCTTAATTCCGGACTCCGCTGCCCCTCCTGCGGGCCCAGGACCGGCATCCCTGGCTTCCGTGGGGAGAGAGAGAGACCAGCGAATATCCGTTTGCCAATCTCCTTCCCTCTGAATGGAGCCAGAAGCCAGGCTGATTGCGTCACTTCTGGTCCCTTAGCTGTCATTCCCCGGTGCCAGAAACCAGAGAAGAATCTGCACTTCAGTAGCTTCTTTGGAGTGCAAAGGTAACACTATGGGTCTAATAGACCCCTAATGTCACCTTAAAGGAGAACTATGAGGTGAGTGAAAATCACTCAGCCTCATAGTTCGAGCCGACGTGTGACAGAGACTGTCACAGGTCGGCTCAATAGATCGCGAAGTGAGCGAACACATACCGTCGCTCGCTCACTTTCTCGATCATGTCCCTGCAGGGTTTCCCCCCCTCCGCGCTCCGATCCTCCAGCGCTGACTGGCGGAACGGTCGGGGGAGGGGGCGTGTACAGCTGGCTCTACCTCTAGATAGGCCAGCTGTCAGTCCCGCAGAGCTGGGTGGATCCAGACAGTAATGTCGGGATCCGTCCCGGCTGCTACAGTCTCAGTATACCGCGAGCTGTAGCTCTCTAAATACTGAGCTTTGAGTGATGGGAGGACGCTAGTTTATGTGCCTTTAAAGAGAACCTGTCACCACTAGTATGCTAAAATAAATGGGGCTTGTAACCCCCCCCCCCCCATGTGATAGCAATTAAGTAAAAAAAAAAGGTTTAAAAAAACTAAAATTAAAACTGTTGCACAATCAAAAAGAAGAAAAGAAGGTTCCCCAGTAAAGAAGAGATATTATAATCACCT